GGACACGATGCTGAGCAACTGCAAGACATCCAAGGAGCAGCAGGATCCCTAGGACCTCCCTTTCGCCGCCCCCCGCAATTAAAGGGACAAGGAAAAACAAACAAAGCAATCCTCCAAGCACGCAGACGAAGCCACAAACGAGCTCCGGCCCTCTTCCTTCGCAACAACGCGTCGCAAATGCACAATTCGCCCTTCCAGCAACTCCTCTCTACAATCACGCACGCTCATAGAAGGCTGGTGGCCAGAGGCTACAGCAACCCCAAGTACGCCCGCAGTTGCTCTACCAGCAAGTCAGCCGCATGCTGGCAGGGCGGGGAGTAGCTCAGCGCCGCCGCCACCAGCGCCAGCACAATGCCCAGCAGGAGCATCACCCACATCTTGAAGCGGTGAGCCTTGCGAGCCGCCTCTTCCTGCTTCATCTCCGCAAGGAGCGCGGCGCGTCCTTCCCGCCGCTTTTCCTTGCGCTCTATCTGACGCACCACCGCCTGGTAGTCGGTGACTTCAATCGGCTCCAGGAGGGGACGACGTGAGCTGCACCCGCCCTTCGGAGCCTTGCCCGCCTTTCTCGGTATGTCATGCGCCGGGACAGACAGATGGCGGAGCTCGTCAAGGTTGTTCGTCGGCATTGGTGTCGGATGAACGAGTGCTATACCAGTTCCCCTGTTTTCTTTTTTTTTTACTTTTTTCTTCTTCTTCTTTGGGGGATGGGGGGTTCGGTTTCGTTATTATCCTCGATTTGTCTGTGCACAACTGCATATAAAAGGGGGCGGAGCAACCACAGGGGGAGGGGGGCAAAGCAGTGATGGTGTGGGTCGGCCAATCATGCAAGCAGTGACCTGTCGATCTTTGCGGCGGCGAGGCACAGTTAAGCACACTGCTGCTGTTGGTGGCAGCACAGGAAGAGCAATGTGCTCACATGGATACACAAATACACAGAGACACACACACACACAGAGACAGAGATATAAATAAATGGAAACGAGCAAGCAAGCACGTACCGAGGCTGCAGGGGGGCAGCACACGGCCGTGCCGCTGCATCTATTTTACATTGAGCATATCGCCTCTCCCTCCATACAAAGGAAAGAACAGAGTGCGTTCGAAACATGAGGCGTTCATTGAGAGAAGAATCGAATAGCACATATTCCCCCCCCCACGCAAGGAGAGAGAGAGAGAGGGGAGGAGGGAGAGACTTCTCTTCCCACTATTTTTTTCTTTTTCTTGCTTCACCGTCACTCACCGCCTCACACTAGCGTGCGGACCTCGCCCCCTCCATCCAGGTTCGCAGAGTGACCCCATTCGTACGTCTGGCGATGGCCGACTTGGCCGAGCTGCTCACCGACGAGGCGGAGGGCACCAGCCGCACGGCTTTGCGCTGCGTCTGCAGCGGGGTATCTGTGCGGCCCGACGCCGTGCCGGATGCACTTGTCACCCCTGATGGCGGGAACTGTCGTCGAATGGAATCACGCATTCGCCGCTCTGGAAGCACAGGACGCGCTAGATCCAAAATACGGAACCGCACCACCAGGGAAGTTACGACTCGCGCAAGTCCTGCCCACACCCGCCGCTGCTTCACATCCTCTTGGTGAATCTTCACAAAGTCTCTGTGCGTGGCTGAAAGCAATGTCGAACTAATAGGGGGAATGAGATGCATCTTCTGGTGCACGAGTCTCTGCCTTTCCCTATCCGCCAATGTCAATGCCCGCTCTGGCGAGGCACGCGCATTCTCTTCCTTCTCATCGGACGCATCAGGCAAGGCCTCCTCTTCATTGTCGTCGCTGCCTCGGTCACTACTGTGTGAGCTGTTCCTGCTCTTACTGCTGCCACCACTGGCGCTGTCATCATCTTCATCCTCATCAAGTCCCAGGTACACCTCCATGTCGGAGAGCGTGTCTACGAACACCTCTGCATCTTTTTGTGAACTCGTTGTGTCATTGTCCTCCCCCTGTGTTTTGCGCACCGGCTCCCCCAGATTCACCTGCATCCGTGTGCACTTCTTGATCACCGTATCGCTCGTAATCGCATATGCATGGCTGGGCTTACGCATGGCGTTCCACCCCACATTAGTGCTGCCGCCGACAAGCGTCTCGTTCTTGGCGAAGATGGGCCCCACAACGTAGTTTTTGAGCTCATCCTCTGCCTGGCAACGCAGGGCCTGCTCCACGTCGCTTTCAGCGGACGCCGGTCCACCGCAGACGAGGCGGACGTACCCAACAAAAAGCGTCGCGAGCACCCACAGCATGGCGGAAGGGTGCGGGGACTGGCCGAAGAGCACGGGGGTGAAGAAGTTCTCAAGAAACGTGCAGTGCGTCAGCAGCGGCGGGAATAGACCCTCAGCTGTCTGCAGGTACATGACACGTTTCAGCTCCGCGAAGAGCGTCTCGCATGAGACATCTGCGGCCTGCTCACTCTTTTCATCCTTCTTCCATGACATGAGGTCACATTCACGGTTCATTGGCGAGGAGAAGTACACAACACGCCGTGCACCTCTCCCAATGTAGAGCGCCTCCAATGCACGCACAAGTTTCAGAAGCGCTGACGCACCAAAGTCGCCATCACGCGCCCCGGTGTCGATCTTCCCGACAGGGTGCCAAAAGACACCGCCTGGGCTACTCTTCATGAAGACGTTCACCCAATCCAGCAGAAATGTCTCCAGGCACCGGCGGGCCTCCACAGCACGATCCACAACCATGTGAACACCCATCGCGTAGTCATCCTCAAGGCGCCGCAATACTAAGCCGTCTCGCCGCAGCAGGGAAGGAACTGCCAGACATTTCGTCTGTAATGTAAATGTTTTTGCGAGGCGCTCCCAGCGCTTGCCTTGTTTTTTGGCTAACAACACGTGCAATTGCTGCTGTCGTATCTCCTGGTGCATCGCACGGAGGGTAAGGACGTGATTCTCCGCAAGCTGTGACTTGAGCGCTTCCTTCTTCATTGACAGAATTTCCTTTGCCTTCTGCTCCTCTACGAGCCGCTTTGTCAACGCCTCCATCGCATTGTGCTTAGAGTTCTCAAGAAACGCCATCCGCACCTCCGACTCCTTGACCATTTTGATGAGCTCAGACACATGTGACTGCGTTGTAACACGTCTCCAGCGCAGGAAGCATCCTTCCACGCGAATGCGCTGCCGCACACGAGTCAGGTACATCGTTGCGGCCTTTCGGAACGCACGAGCGCGTTGCGTTGTTGTGCGCCACGCACGAAACACGTGTTCCAGGCAGACGCGGTCCACCCGCCGCTGTGCGACACGCAGAACGATGCGGCTTTTGCGTACCACCTCTTGTAGACCTACAATCCGCTGTGATAACAGTTCGTTATCTTTGCAGGCGTCCAGGTATGCATCCGACCACAAGTGCCAGTTCGCATAGTCGTCACACGTTTCGAAGCGTGGGTATGGTGACACGTCAGGATGCACTGGCTCCTGCGGAGGCAGGAGTGCACTCGGTGTGCATACCGCCTGGAAGATGACCTCCCGCAGCATTGGCCACAACGTCGATAGCTTTGGCTCGCGAGTCAGGACCTCATTAAGCAGGTAGCAAGCCACGCCCAGAAGGAGGCGGTTGGGGGGCTCTACGCCTTTGCGCTCCCGCTCCGAACGCGGCCCCAGCGCAGCCACCAGCACTTCCTGAAAGCTTGTTTCGGCCCACTGTGTCACACACTGAAATCCTGACGCATCAAATGAAAGAGGAAAACCACGTGGCATTGTGCCTTTCCTTTCTCTCGGTGAGCCACACGACTGTGTGGACTGTGCCTTCGTCAACGGACGAGAATAATTGAAGCTGTTACTGTTGCAAGGCACAGGGGTCGCTTTCCCCACCGCACACGGCAGACCAAACTTTCGGTTCACACGCTTTTCCTGCGGTTGCATGGCAGTCGCGGAGTCACTCTCAACAACAGGTGGGTCAAACGTACAGGGCGGCAGAACCCCATCCACACCGCTGAGTATCTCCTCCATGTGGTGATCCACACGTGTTCGCACAGACGCACGGCCACGGCTAAGGGCCAGATGTCGCCGCTCCGCCATCTTCTCCAAGGCGGCAGTTGTCTCGTCCATCTCTCGCCGCAGCCGTGCCTCGGCGCGGCCTACACCGATGTGAATGGGGTTCTCACTCGCCAGATCCCGCTCATACCGGTTGCGCAGCCCTGATGGTTGCATTTGCTGCTAGGACTGTCCCCACCCTCACCCTTCAATCCTTTGCGTGGGTGTTGCGAATACAAAGCACACAAGGGCGTGATTCGAGCGATTGCCCTCGTCACCTCGCCACGTCACCGCTACCTACACCCTTTCCCTTCCTTCTTTCCTGATCTTGCAGAGCACCGCGTTGGAGAACCAACACCGAAAGAAACTTTTAAAAAAGCAGGAATAGCACCAGTGGTACACACAAATGTATCGAAACAACAGCTACAAGGAACACACACACACAACAACAACAACAACTGAACCCGACTTAACCCAGAGTGTGCCGAATTGCCCCCATCTCCAAAAGGCATCAATCACCATCGATCCTTTTCTTCTGCAATCGCACCCCATTCTTCCACCGACCGCACGTGAATAACGGAGGATGTGACGCCGATCAGTGGGAGAGGAAACAAAAAAGAAAAAGCACGAAATCCTCAAGCCCCCGAGAGTTCTCCTTTTATTCCCTCATCTTCGCGGCACATCTCAACAAAACTGAAATGAGACAACAATAAAGGTGCAATGTTGTTTTTTTTTTTTTTNGGGGGGGGGGGAGTTTCCTGTCTGCGTTTCTTTCTGAAAAAAAAAGGTTTAGCCTTTCTCTTCTCTACAAGAATACGCTGTCATAGAGCTACACATGTGGCCTTTTTCCCTTCCTCCTCCTCCTCCTCCTCCTTGCTGCTGTCAAATATCTCTTCGCATCTTTACACCAACTTGCGGTAGCACATGGCCGGGTACGCAGATGTGCACTCAAGACTCCCTGTGACCTTCTCCAATGGCGGCGGGCTCCTGACCAGTCGGTAGAAGACGCGTTCATACCGACTCGCCATGGTGTCGCTGCCGAACAACTGCATGGCACGCTCACGAGAGCGACGTGCGGCCGCTTCGCCCTCTTCGGGGTGGAACTTGTAGTGGAGAATCTCCCGCGCCAGTCCCTCCACATCGCCCAGGGTAAACCGCCGCCCATACTCTGCGCACGGCACCACCGAGCGCGCGCTGCCAAGGTCCGTCACAACGAGCGGCACGCCGGACAGGGCCGCTTCGATCATCACAGTGTTGAGGCCATGATGCTGATAGAAGGGGTCCACAAACACATCGACCGTCTGATAGAACCGCGCGAGATTCTCCTGCGAGAGCATTCCCAGCTGGATGACGGGCATCCCCTCACGCCTCATAGACCCATAAAGCTGTCCCTGTGATCCCCTACCAGCTACCATGAGCGTAACGTCGTGATGTGTCCCCATGATCAGCCGCATCGCTTTAGATAGCTGCAGATGTCCCTTGATCGCCTCCAGGCGCCCGCCACAGCCCACAATGAAGTGGTTGCGCGGCACACGATACTCATCCAAGAATGCATTACGCACCTCCTGTCCTTCGCGTGGTCGAAACATGTGACGGTCAACACCATTGTAAATCAACGCAATCTGGTCTGGTACAATGTGCTGTATCTCCCGCAGGTTCTTTTCAGCTTCATCCGATATTACTATATGCTGTGGTACCGTGAGGAGCATATATTCCTCTAGCGTCACAACAGAAGAAAGGCTCTTCATACGCTCCATCACGTTGGGGCCAGGCATCTTGCGCATCATGCGATAGTTATGAGCGATGTAATTCAGTTCACTGCGGAGCCAATCTAGCATTGACCCATGCCACGTCACAGCAAATGGCAAACCCAGCTGATACATGTTGGGCACAGCTGCCCAACTCTCACTGTGCACCAAGTGGAAAGGCTGTGCCTCATGGTACCGTTGAAATACACTCAGACATTCCTCCAGCCACTTCACACTGTATGCACTGTTATGTTTAGACGCAACCTGCTCCACCACCAGTCGTGCCTTGTCCAGTCCACAGAGAGAAGTCTTGTTTGTGTCGGGATCCGTGCAGTACCCGAGTTTCTGTAGTTGGCCCGACGGGGGACCCGTCACAAAGACATGCACGTAATGACCCCGAGCTGCCAACTGGGAGTAGATGTGGTAGGCATGAAATTGCATACCCCCAGTCGCGTGAAGTGGCGGAATCCACAGTCGTGAGAAGGCGGCAATCCGTAAAGGGCCGCGCTCATCCCGTGTTTTCTTAGCCTCAGCGGCGTCCGCTGCATAGCGGGTATACATTTCCACCGTGGATTGCACGCAACTGTCGCCATGACTTTCAAATTTCACTATAGGCGCATGAACATCATTCACGGGGCCACGGGCAACATTATCACCTCCAGTCTCCAGGGAGGTATGAAGTGGGGACGTAATTCTCCGCTGTGGCGTTCCACAAGAAAGCCCGAAGAGGAATGCCATGACAAGGAGAAGACACCAGAAAAGCGGGAAATACGTGTGGGACCGGCGGAAACCAAGTCCATCTCTCCGCCGCATGCTGCTCCTCGTGGTTATCTTTCCTGTTAAGGGAGCACTATGACAATAAGAAAAGCAGCACGTAGCGAACGTTGACACCCAATTAAATAACAGGTAGATGCAACGTGGTATATATCCCTTTTCTTTTCCTCGATAACCCTCTCAGTTTGGGTAATACCATTCTACCACAGGCATGGGAACACGCGCTATACGTCGTTTTTCCTGGCGCAAGATCCTGTCCATGCAAGGTGGATCTATTCGGAGTTGTTTTCTTTTGCATGTGTCAGCATTAGTGTATCTGCTGTCATTATCATTCTCGCACGAATACTCTTCCCGTGGTAGAAAACGCTTGTACACATAGAGGGACATATCCCCATGGGCAGGGTTGTACCGTAGTTTGGGGAGACGTGGAAGAGGCACACTGTCATCACATGGTGACGCCGAAGTTTCATGCATCGAGCTGGCATCTATTGAGGAGGGTAAGCTTCTGTTTGACAGCTGAGAATCTTTATCGTCGTCGAGCACTCCAAAGGCTGCACGAGAACGATACGTGTTGGCTATCGCAATTCTTGGCGCGTACGGTAGTCCCTGCGGAACCACAGTATAGCATGGTGATGAGACGCTGTGGGCATCGTTGGTGTCTTCTGTGGCATCACTCGTATGGTAGATCTGCTGGCGGCGAGCAGCTGCAGCGGCAAGGACGGCGCCAGAAATCGGAAGAAAAACTGGTAACAGCCGCCCAGTCTTCCCTGAGAGTGTTCCCTCGTCTGCTGTTTGCTGAATCGCATGCACCGCCGCGGAGAGACTGTCACCGAGGAGCGTGTCAGACCTTACTGCGGCGCGGAGCGAAGAAAGCATCTGTTCCCGTACCGTTGGTACAATAGGAGCCGCCGCCACCGCAGAACTAGCAGTTGCGTCATCCACCGCAGTGTCAGCAACTCTCCCCGTCGAGGGACTGGCTTCTTTTGTCGAGAAGCAACAGCGAGAGTGTATAAAGAAAGCAGTGGACGTCTCGCAGAGGTCACCGCACATACAGCGCCACGGGCCTTCCGCTGGTGTCGGGCTCGTACGGACGGCGGATGTCTCCTTGCTTCTCCTGCCACGCGTCGACGCGACCGCCGGCGACGACGGCGACGGGCGGGGAGTTGCGGTGGCGGTGCCTCCTGCGGTATCCCCCATTCGGCGGCCCCTCCCCCCTCTCACAGGTTCACTACTACACAAGAGGAGCGCAATGCAAAGAAGAAACAAACAAACAGACAAACGAAAACAATAAGTAGAGAGGTACGAAGGGTTCAGAAAACGGCATGTTCCCCACGAAAGACGATAACAGGACGCGAAAGAAGTCACTCCACAAGAGCATAT